CTTCAGATCAAAATAATATGATCGGTCAAGTAAAACTAAAGTTTTCGGCTATCAAATTAACATCAATATAAATACCTAAATTCTCCGGTATTTATTCGGAATGGTCGTCCTTTAAAAATTTATTTTATTTTAAATAATACATAACAATAATAATTTAAGCGATATACAAAAATGTTGCCATTTAAGAGGTGCATCAATCGGAGAAGCTCAGAAGGTCATTATGTGTTTGCCAACGAATTCAGACTACTACAAAAATGTATGGGAAAATCTTATTGGGCGTTACAGTAGTAATAAAATTTTCGTTCAAGCGCGCACCACAGCTCAGTTTGAGTTATAAAAGGCAAGAGAAGAGTCATTGGTACAATTAAAAGCTCTTTATGATTCAATATCGAATAATATTCAAGCCCTATAAGAGTTAGGACAGCAACCTGAACACGGGGCTTGTTATTTTTACACTTAATAGCCACAAAACTTGACTCAAACACATTAAGACATTGGGAGGTCAGTACACCGTCAAATAAAATATCAACTATCGAAGGTTTGTTAAAATTTATACAAGAACGATTTTGTATATTGGAAGCTGTAGGTATACATTACGCATCATTTTCAAAAATTAAAGACAGACAAAAAGTGCCGGTTCTAAAAAGGTCATCAGTATTTACAATAACTGGACCTATTAAGTAAGTGTTACTTTTGTAAAGAAGCGCATTCTATATATTTTTGTTCAAAATTTCTTAAAATTGTCTGTAGCCGAGCTAATGAAAAGAGCGGCTGAATTGAATTTATGTAAGATTTGTCTACGGCAACACGGCAATGATAAATGTACAAGTCTAAAAAAAAAAATTTGACCTCTGGACTTGTCTTCGTGGTGAAAGTTGACATCAAAGTTAATAAAAAATTACGATTTTTGTAAAATAATTTTTTTTTATATTTTTAACTTAATAATGCTCTAACTTTTTCAAAAATGAACATATCAATATAATTTTTTTTTATATAGATGCTTGATGTCTTTACTTATTATTTGGTATATTTTTTTTGTAAATCTGACACTTAACCTGCTCACAGGGGGGGATTTAAAATGACAACTTTTTCACAAAAAATTAACTTTTTCAACTTAACTTTTGAAAATGTTCCGGAAGGTCTGACACTTTTATATATATCTTAAATTAAAGCTAATGTAATATACTTTAATTTGAAAAAAAAAAATTTGACCTCTGGACTTGTCTTCATGGTGAAAACGGCTACCGAATGCTATTTTTGTGTGAAAATTTTCGATTTTATTATTTATATTACATTTAACTTTATAATGCTATAACTTATTGAAAAGTTTATGGATCCACACAATTTTTTTATGAGAAATAATATTTTTTAATAAACCCTTTTTCATTCGACATACTTTATCTTAATCGAGATATTAATAAGGAACCAGCAGATCAAGTAGCTTTTGGAATAAAACACCAATTTTTTTAAAATTAAACACTATCTAAAGATTTGATATATAGCGTTTATTTTTGATAGTGATTTTAATCACTGTCAGATATC